AATTAGAACAGCAACTCTACAGAGCTTGCGTTTATAGACCCCCAAACAAAGATTAAGAACCACGCTGCCCGAATCAGAAGCCGCGAGCCACAACTGGCTATTTATGTATATTCTAATTAAAATGTGTATTTTATGTATATTCTAATTAAAATGAAGTAAAATGAAACTTTCCACTCCTCAGTGGCATGGGCCATGTTTCCGGTGCTGGATCTGGAGAGCCAGGTGGCTGCCGTGCTGACCGCCGGCTGGGGTGTGGCCGGGCTACTGTCTTGGCTCGCTCCTCTCTTCATCCTCCCAAGTCAGGAACCATGCCAGGGACGGAGTAGCTGCACAAGACCCACAAAGAAGCGACGGTGGGCCCCCAACAGCTCTGAGGGGTTTTCACTTGGTCTCCTGGTCTGGGGCAGATATGTGCAAAGCAGCAGAGCAGGACCCCAGCATGAGCCCGGAGGCTGATGGAGCCCCAGAGCTGGCTGAGTCTGAAGGCAGGAGGATGGGGCTGAGGAGGAGAGGCCTCCAAGTCTGGAAGCTGCTGGTCCACACCAGCATCCTCGAGGAGTGGGAGCTCATGAATGCTTGGGGAACTCAGACCACCGTCTTCTCATCCTCTTCCTGTCTGCTGAGTGTCCCTTCCTGCGACAGCCTCAGCCTTCTGGGATCCTTCCTGCGGCCCCAGTACCGCTTCCTGCCTCTTTGCTGAGTCCCGAGGGCCTCACGTCATGCAGCCACGGGACCTCTGGCCATTACTGGGCAGGACTGCGAAAGACAGCCAGAGAGGGACAGAGAGAGAGAGAGAACAATCCTCCATAGAAACACCTCCTTGCTCATTTGAGACCACAGCCCAAGAACCCGAGAGACGTGAGCCCTGTGTCCAGAGCTCCCGGGGAGCAGGCTGACTTGTTTTTCTTTTACAGCCTACCACCCCCAGCCACCCTACGTTCCTGAAACACCAGTTCAGGAACAGCTGTGTCTGACTTTGACAGCACAGGACATTGCTGAAACCAGGGCACGGGTGGAAAGTACTCTTGGCGGAATACCCTGGTGTTGGCGCTTAGAAAAAGGGGCAGACTCACCTGGGCGGTTCTGGCTTGGGGGTCTCTCACGAGGTTGTGTCTGTCAAGATGTTGGTCGGGGCTGCCTCTTCAGGAAGTCTGCCTGAGCCTGGAGGATCCGCCTCCGAGGCGGCAAGCTCAGGCACCGGGCGGCTCGCCGATGCTGCTGCCTGGAGGCCTGCGTCCCTTAGCAGCTGGGTGACCTCCCCACGGGGCGGCTCGAGCATCCTCCAACGTGGTGGCTGGCTTCCCTCGGAGTGCGGGATCCAACAGACAGCAGAGCGGGGGCTGCAAGGTCTCTGTATGACCCACAGAAGCCCCACCCTGCCATTTCTACAATATCCCCGTGGTTACAAGGTCAGCCCAGTTCAGTACAGGAGGGGACCCCAAAGGAGTGTGGCCACCAGGAGAGGAATGGAATGGAGGAGGAGACGCTCCACACATCTCTGTAGCAGCCCGACAATCTGCAGGTGATAACCATGGGAGCGGTCTGAGGAAGGCCAGCTCTGAGCTGGTTGGACGGTGGAGTGGCCAGTTAAGACAGAGCGGCATGGAGGGACGCTGGAGGGGGCACAGACTTTGGAGCTCGCCATGTGACCGTGGACAAGTTATTGGGCATCCTCTGCTGTAATACGGACTTAGGGGCCTGTGGGAGAGCTTAAAAGAGAACGTCAATAGGCCTGCAAGACACTCACGAACTCACTCACGTCACTCCGAGAAACGCAACGTGTTTTATAAGAATAGACTTGGAAGTGAAGACAGCAAGACTCTTAGCCCGAAGGCCAGCTCCACGGAAGCCCCCAGAAGCTGCTCAGCCGGGCAGGTCTTGCAAAGGAGAGCGCTCTGGACGTACTGCAAGAGCATTGCACGATGGACGTGCCAGGGGATATTTTTTTCTGATCTTTACCGTGAAGACCTGATGGGGTGGGGAAACCTGAGAAAGTGCCAGGACCCCCAGAAGTGAGCGTCTTTAGCTCTCAGACGTGTCCAGCATCGCATCATGCAGGGTTGGCTTTCCTGCCCCTGCGGGCTCCCCTGGTGCTTCCTGTTCTCGGGCTCGCGCTCTGGGAGGTTGTGGCTCTCTGCGTCCGCTGTCTCTCTGGTGTGGCTTCTCTGAGGCATCTGAGAAGAGCTGTTCATTTTCCACCTTCCTCGCGAAACGTGGACCAGAGCCATGGCATCTCTGCCCCTGGCGCGCAGGACTAGAAACGGGAAGTGATTGTAAGTGATCCTTCAGCAGCTCCGTTTCTGCTTCTCAGCGAAGGTTTCGTGCATCTACGGGGTCACGCCAGGCTTCCCGGCCTCAGGTCAGAGCCCAGTCCGTGAAGCATTACGGTGTGGCGATGTGGTGGCCATTCTAAGGCTTCACGATCCCGAACATGGGCAGGAATACCTGAGGGACAGCTTATAGCCCCTGCGGTTCCAACACGCAGTCACCGGTCAGGCAGCCATTGAGCATTTGAAATGTGGCTGATCCAAACTGAGATGCAGGTGTCAAATACACCATACTACGGGTTTCAAAGACTTAGTTAAAAAAAAAAAAGCAACATATTATTACTATATTCATAGTTTTATATGGGTTACAGTTTGAAATGATAATATTTGGGATATACTGGGTTAAATAAAGGGAATACTAAAATTAATGTCACTTACTTCTTTTCACCATTTTTTAAAAAAACTTTATTTATTTATTTGACAGAGAGAGACACAGCGAGAGAGGGAACACAAGCAGGGGGAGTGGGAGAGGGAGAAGCAGGCTTCCCACGGAGCTGGGAGCCCAGTGCGGGGCTCGATCCCAGGACCCTGGGACCATGACCTGAGTCGAAGGCAGTCGCTTAACCGACTGAGCCACCCAGGCGCCCCTCTTCTCACCATTTTAATGCAGCACCTAGAAAATTTAGAATTGCATTTGTGCCTCCCATTATATTTCTGCCGGGGGGGTGTGTTAGAGGCCAGTGACGCTTCTTTGGTCCAATCGATGTTTCTGTCTTCGTGACGATGCTTTCGATTTGTGTTTGAGCAGAGCAAGGGCTCCTAGGTCTCAATTTGGTGTCTCTGTGTCGTGTGTATTCCTTCCACTCTTACTTGTCAGATCGCCTTGTGCAAGTCGCAGTGTCCAGGGGGCCTGCGCCCAGAGCTGAATCCGCCACGGGAGGGCAGTGCAGACGCCGAAGGAACATGCAGTGTCTGGCGAGCCACGAGCTGTGTCTGCCCCGGGGTGGCTTTGGTCTTCAGCCACGGAAACAAACGACGGCCAACTTAAACACGAAGGGAATTTATCGGCGTGTTGCTGGGCAGTTCACAGAACCAAAAAAGCCAAGATGCAGGTTTCCGGAAAGGGCAGGAGTCAGCTGTCCTGGGGATTTATGGCAGCATCACCCCAAGGCTGCTCTCTCGGCCCGGGGGGGTGGGGGTGGCGGGGGCCCATGGGGATCGATCAGCTCAGGCTTCTCCCCTTCTTGCACCATCCCACACCAGCCGAGCGGGGCAGGAATGCCCAGGACATGGCGGCTGATTGGCTGGCAGGGGCTCTGGGCCCAGGTCTGGGAGGGGGAGGGTGTGCTGAGCGGGCAGAAACAATATGTAGCCACTGCCTCATTCCAACCTCATTTCGTCAGTGACCACTGGAGGACTCCGCCAATTCAGCTCTTTTGAGAGACTCTTAAGTGCATCTTTGCAAACTTTGAAATATGGAAACACATCAAACATGTAGAGAAGAGGACAGAATAAGAAAATAAATCTCCATGGACCCGTCGCCCAGCCTCCACAAGAATCCACGTCGGGTCAGGCTTGTTTCATCAATAAGCCACCCAAATCCTCCTGAGTTATTTCGGAGCAAATCTCAGGCATTATATCATTTCCTGTAACTCAGTGTGTATCTCTACAAGAGTTTGCTTAAAAAAAAAAAAACAACAACAACCAACATAACCACGATATTATCACCCATAAAAGAATCCCAACAATGCCGTAATATGACCACGTTTCTGGCCGGTGTTCAGATTCTCATTTTTTAACAACTTTATGGAGGTAGAATCTCCGTATCAAATTCACGAACTGTCACCCTGTCCAGTCTTCCGGTATTATTTAGAATGTTTCTGCCACCCAAAATGCTCCCTCACGCCCTTGTGCAGCCAGGCCTCACCTGGCAAAACAGTCTAGTGAAAAGTTAAACATACACTCAGGGTGCAACCCAGCACTTCCACCCCGAGGAACCTGCTCAAGAGAAATGAACACACATGCCGAAGACCACTCCATGAATGTCTAGAGCAGAATTACTCATGAAACCCAAACTGAAAACGATCATGGGTCTATCAACCAGTGGGCTGACTGTTTTTTTTTTAAACCGGTAGAGTCCTACAATCAAGCGCGATCAGCACTAACAAGGCGGGACTGCTGATATGTGGGACAATACGGATGAACCGCAAGCCAGGTGCTTAGTGAAAGCAGCAGGATCATCCATGATGGATGATTCTGTGCGTGGGAAATGGGTAAGAAGGGAAAACTTTAGAGGAGAAAGCATCTTGGGGCAGCCTGAGTGCCCCTCCTGGGACCCTTCCCTCTCCTCTCTCCTTGGAGGCTCTAGCATCACCCTCCAAACTGGAAGCTGGTGCTTTCAGTTCTGCAATTCCAGCTGCCCCCAAACAAGGGCACACAAGGCTTGGCTACTTCCAGAAATAAATGCAGACAGAACAAGATGCAAATTTAGGTATCAGGAAATATCCCGCCCACATCATGTTAAGGATCATGTTTTCATGTCTTAAAACAATACTTTGCTTCTGTTCTGTTCAAAGTCATTTTTTTTGTTTTTGTTTTTGTTTTAATCCGATTTGCTAGCAGATACCAAAACGGAGGGGGGTGCTGTCACATCTATTTGTAACCCGGGGGCTATCCTTCAGATAGGGTGGGTTAGGGGTCCCAGTCTCACCGTTCTCGGTGTCTCACTCGTACCTAAGAGTGCACGATCTTCTCCATGACCCCTGCAGTTTCACCTTCTCATCCATCCTTGGGAGGTGGTTAGAGACCATTGTTGTCCTGGTTCGACAGTGGGGAGGATGGAGACTCAGCTCGATGTGTCTCGTCCCAGCACACAGAAGCTGCTGGTGAAAAATTAACCAGACTAGTCCCACAAGCAGATCTCTCCCTTTGGCAATTCGCTGCATCATACTTTATTTCCGTTAACCTTTATTGAGCTCTTGCTGTGTGCCAGGCGCCGTGCAAGCACCTCGACTATCTTATTTCATTCTCTAAAAGACCCCGTGAAGGCATGATCACCAGCCCCGTTTGACAGTGTAGACAAGTGAACAGAAGTTTAAAGAAGTGAAGGGGGGCACCTGAGGGCCGCGGCTGGTTTAGCTCCCAGACCAAGGTGTTGTCAAAGCCCACTCGGGCTCTCTGTACCCCCTGCTCCTTGCAAATTGCTGAAATTTATTAGCTGAAGGGGAATTTTCTAAAATACATAGGCAAAAAGCTGTCCCTTAATCTTTCCTACAAAATGCTTCGTCACCCACACAGGTGACAATATGCTTCTGCCCCTGAGGTTAGGAGAGCTGACGGCACACAGGTGTAGTGGGTGCGTGGACAACCCCCGCAGGTTTCAGGTGCAGCTCCCACACTTACTACCTGCGTGACCCTGGGCACGTTACTCGATCCCACCCCATGCCTCATTTTCCCCACTTCCCGTAAACCTCCAGGCTAGATGGGGGGGTCCTGTGTGTAGAAGGCTTGGTGCAGCGCCTGGTAGATAAGCCAGATCTCAGTCATGCTGCTCATCATCGGGCTGGATCACTACTGCCGTTCAAGAAAGGTCAACTGCAGCCCACGGTCACTAATTTCATATGTTTCAACCTAAAATTATCATCGGAACTCAAGCTTAAAAAAACCCACAGACCCAAGTGTAGGAGTGCAACCAGAAATCCTCTGAGGTCTGAACAGGGAAGACGATGGAGCCAAACGCAGCAAGACAAAATGAGATTGGACGTCACGGACTCCAGGCCACAGGGAGCGGCTGCCTGTTTCTTACCCGCTTCTAAACGCACATGACCACAGTCCCTGTTTCGAAGTGGGAGAAAAGGAAACAGTGAACGCAGCTTCCCACGTCTGTGAAGAAATTTGTAGCCTAGAGAAGGAAATGGAATTCGAGAAGCCCTGGCTTCCAGCCCAACTCCCAGCCATTTATCAAAAGTGTGGCTGGACGGACCAGACGCACTCCGCGCTGGGGTTACTGGAAGCAGATGAGACATGGCCTCCTGTTCTGTGTGTACCTTTGCAGCTGATGTGCGCGGGGAGGCCACAGAATGCATGTGAAATGTGCACAGCCCAGCATCCCCTGGCTGTCTGGTACCCACCTATCATATTTCCCCTCCACCATTTACCCAATCAAGGATTCAAAGGGAAAGACAAGCTGGCTAAGAGAGTCTTACAGAGCTTACGCTAATCAAAAAGGATTAAATCTGTAAGACATCATTTTGCTTCCCTCTTTTTATGTTTATCAGTGCCATGGAGAATGAGGAGCTAGCTGCTGAATTTGAAATGAGAGGGCATATTCACTTACCAGGTTGGAAATCCTCCCTGGCAAGCATTTTCTTACCACGCCAAGAGTAGCAAATGCAGGTCCTGGAGGATATTTAGAATAAACCTAGAATAAAATGATAGTTAATGTCTGAGAAAAGCACCAAATAAATAGAAGATACTAAAAAAAAAAAAAAGAGTACAGGACCCAAGATCCCTGAGCCTCTCTCAAAACTAAGAATGTAAACCGCTGATTCCCACTTGGGAAAAGCCATGCTTGAGCCTATGCACAGAGAGACAAATGGAACTTCTACAAAACCTTCATGTTTCTCTTCGGTGACCGTGATGACTCAGCAGCCACCCTTGACTGCCCAGCCCCTCACCTACAGACTTTAATTAGCCATCCAAGATTTACAACGCTCCAGGGTGGAGAGACTTCTCCTCTCTAGGCTGCCAGAAGTGAAGCGGTGTCTGAACGAGGAGATGGGGCTGCACGTCCACCGGAGGACACCATCGGGCTCCACTGGCCGTCACATGCTCACAGGCGGTGCAGGGTGGTTCATGATCACAGTCTGGAGTTACAAGGGCAGAACCACTGACAGCCTCTTCCATGTCTGTTCTGTACTTCCTCCTCATTCGCACAACTCCGATTTTGCCTGGGCTGGGCCTGAGCCCAGCCAGATCACGTCTCAAGGGGGCGGCTCCACAATGTCACTGTGGTTAATGTGCTTAATCAGAGGTCATGGGGCTCAGGATGACCGGCTCATTCCAGTCTGCCTAGACTTTCTTGGGTATAGCGATGAGAGTCCTGCATCCTGGGAGACCCCATGGTCCCGGACAAACTGGAACAGTTGGCCATCCTCCAGGAAGGCTCTTTGAAAGTGGCAGAGGCTGCTGGCCAGTGCGTGTCCCCTTTGCCTGTCCCCCCTCTTGCTGCATGGGGTGTGGGCTCAATTCTAGAGGCGACCATGAAGCATCAAGCATGAAGACAAGAGCCACTGACTTATTTTAACAGACAAAACTTGAAGGAAGAAAAAAAAAAGGACTGTGTACTAGGTATAGGGTTGTGAACTAGGTAACCAAAGGGTAAAGAGCAAACTCAGTGTCTCTTGGAGGTGGCAACAAAATGACATGCATTATCACCCCAGGGGACAAAGCAACAAGGTTGGAATTATTGGAGCTTAGGAGCTTGGAGTAGTTGAAAGTCTGATTTGTGAGGTGGGGGCTGGGTAGTGCTGGTGATTCTGAGGGGTCTCAATGAGTTGTCTCTTAGAAAAATAGCAGACAGGTGCTGCAGTAAGGGGTGGAGGAATCGGGGGTAAAGAAGCCTCCCTAGGACAGAGCTTACAGGCAGAGACCCAAAGGAAGGAACCATTCAAATTGTTTGGACGATGCATCCATATTTTGCAAGTGGTGGTGGTCCGCTCATTCCCAAAGCTTTCTAGTGTTCCCTGTATGAATACACCATTCTTTATTCATTCAATTGTGGACTGACATTTTCAGCAATGACTCTATGATCGCTTCCTGTCTACGTACCCAGAGTGCATGAGCACACATCGCTCTAAGTGTTGCTCAAAGCGTGGTCTCCAGGGCAGTGGTGTCAGCAGTACCTGGGGCCTTGTTATAAATGCAGATTCTGGGGTCCCACCCAGACCTTTGGACTCAAATTCTGGGAGTGGGGCCCAGGAGCCCCCCAGGGGACACATGAGAACCACTGTCCTCGGTTATGTATCTGGAAGTACACTTGGGGTCACATGATATGCAACATTCAAAACTCCTAGATAATGTCAAACTATTTTCCAAAGCCTTTGCACCAAGCTGCACTCCCCCCTACAGTGTCTTCCAGCTCCCCTTGCTCTATAAGTTTGCCACCACTTGGCTCAGTCAGACTTTTAAATTTTTGTCAGCCTGGCAGGTACAAAGATGCCTCATCATGGTTGTAAGGGGTACTTGGGTGATTGCTGATGAGGTGAAACACCTCTCCCAAAGGTTTACTGGTCATCCAGACTGCCTCTTATGTGCCATGCCTGTACCAGCTGCTTACCCATTTTCCTCTTCGGTCATCTGTTTTTTTTCTCATCAGTTTGAAGCCCTTTAAGTATTTGGAAAATGGGTCTTGGTTGGCTGTACCTGTTGCAAGTTATCTCCTTCCATTCCGAGACCGGCCTTTTCATTTTCATGTTCTTTCTGTTGCTACACTTTGGTGAACAACTTCTTGAGTTTAATTTAGTCTGATTTGTCCCTATTTTCCTTTATGATTGGTGCATTTAATGACTTAAGAAGTCATTCCCTACCTCACAGTCATGAAGATAATTCTCCTAGAGTGTCTTTGAAAAGTCTGTAGCTCTGCCTTTCACATTTAATTCACAGATCCATCTGGAGTTGACTTGCCTATGACGTGAGGTAGGGGTTCCATTTCTTTCACAGATGTGTAGGTACATAATCTTCTCAGCACCCCTGGTTGAAAACTATGTCTTTCACCTACACCTCTGCTGGGCCCACTCTGTCACACATAAAGTGCTCACAGGTACGTGGATCTGTTTCTGAGCATTCTGTTGTCTCCTCCGGATATTTGTGTATACTTGGATCAAGACCACACAGTATGGGATGCTCTACCTACTCTGCTTCTGACCCTCATGGCAGGATTCCTCCCCTCAGAGGAGTGTCAAGTGCCCTTGAGTCGGACTCTTCCTTGTCCCCATCTCATTGGGTCGGGATGAGTTGACAGTTGCCTGTAATTTGGCTCATGTGTCAGGCCCTCTCTCCACACACTATCCCGGCCTGTTGATGTCCCAGCCTTCCTCAAGGCTCCTCTCAAGTGCTGATACCTCGGATCAGTGGCAGCTGGAAGAGATTCCTTCCTCCTCAGACACAGCCTGTAGGTAGGATGACTGTATGAGTGTCCTGGGGTTGCTGAAACAAAGTACCCCAAACCAAGTGGCTTAATCTACAGAGATCTGTTGTCTCACAGTTTGGAGGCCAGAAGTCTGAGATGGAGGTGCAGGGCCATGTGCTTCTTCAGGTGCTAGGGGAGGATCTGTCTCCAAATTTACCTTTTATAAGAACCCCAGTCATATTGGATCAGAGGCCACCCTCCTCTCGTATGGTTTCATTTTAATGAATTACATCTGCAACAGCCCTATTTCCAAATAAGGTCACATTCAGAGGTACTAGGGGCAGGGTTTCAACATATGACTATCTGAGGGACACAGCTCGACCCAGAACAATGACCATATCATCGATCATCCAAAACTGGGGCACTTTGGAGAGTAAAATGGGGCACTTGTTGAAAATGTACCAGGATCACGGTGTAAACTGTGAGTGTGCTGGATAGTCCAGGACATGTGAGCCACCTCCGTAGACGGTGACCAGGAGATCCACATCATGCAAACACGTCTAGCTTTGGCACTGGCTCAGTTAGAAGGCTTTAACTGTAAATAACAGAAAACCCAACCCCACGTGGCTCCGACACAGAGGGGATTTATGACCTCACGTGTAAGGACTTAGGAGAAAGGGTGGGCCTAGGATGTGTCAATTCAGTGACTCTGTGGTGCCACCGAGGACTCAAGGATCTCTCCACCATGTGGCTCTTATGTCCTTGATGTATTGACTCTGGTGCTTTCGAGGTGGCTGCAGGGCCTTAGGCCCCCTGTCTTCCCAAACCAGGATCCGGAGACCAGGTTTGCTTCATGCATCCCTTTTTAGGAACAAAGACACCTTTCGCCTACTCCAGCCCACTTCCCTTCAGGTCTTGTTGGCCAAAATTACCCTCCACACCTGTGCCCAAACCACGGCCTGGCAAGGGGTGGGGGACCCACCACCATGCTTTTCCTAGCTCAGTCATGATCCTCTCTTAGGATCTGGGCCCCACTTCTCCGGCAGCCGATAGGAAGTGGGTATCTGGACAAAACTGGGGTTGTCTGGGCAGGAAAAGGAGACGGGTTGGGAGGGAGCTGCTAGGTAGGCAGCCAGAATGCACCTGCCACGACAGGGCAAAGAACAGGCACTGAGAACCAGCAGCACAACAGGGGTGAGTTAAAAGGAGGGATTTTCACGCCTGGGCATAGAAGCAAAAACTAGGACCCTCGAATCTTCAAGGTGTTATTCTTGCTGGGACATTGATGAAAGGCAATGTTTTGGGAAGCTGGCAGCAGCACTCATGCCTCGTAAGGTGGAAGGTGTGATAATTGAGGAGGTTAGATGGTCTTGTTTATTGCCCCGGACGGAAGATCATTTTGCAGCAGAGAGCGCTGCAATGCAGCATCATTAACGAGTGCCGACGAGAAACAAGCAATCGGTAAAAATGATTGTTACCAAGCAACAAACCAGCACAGCAAGAATGGAGTTAAGGGGACCTGAACAGGCCACAGAAATCAATCATCAGGAAAAAGGTGGCATGGTGGGGGCGGGGCGGGGGGTGGGGGGAGAATCCTGGAGAGCCATTCCAGTGTCTGTTACATTTCATTGTAAAAAATGACACTTCTCCTGCTTAGAAATGCAATACATGTTCATTGGAGAAAATCAGGAAATACTTACAAAAAAGAAACTAGTCACACGCCTAATCTCACCACTAACTACTTTCAATAGTTGGGCGCATTTCCCTGAGCGTGCACATGCACACTTTGTCTCCTGTCTTGCCTTTTTCACGTCACTTCACTTTACATGGTATTTCCCCCATGTTATTAAAAGTTCTTAGTTGACATCATTTTAAATAACTGCAGAACGCATGCATCGATCAATGACTTTTTGCAAAACACCATAAATCTGTGCTTGGGAAGGACTCTCATGGGGGAAGTGGAGAGTGGAAAACCTAAGTGCCCACATTACTCAGTGTTCTGTGCCGCATTGCAAAGGTAGGTCAGAGGCTTGGCCGCCTTCTGGTCTTTTCTTCGGCTGGGGGGCAAAAAAAGCCTGTATCGAGGAGGATGGGGTGGGAGAAATGTGCCGATTTGTGTGTGTATGGGGGGAGGTGGGGGGAAACCTGTGCATTGATTTGTGCTACAAACCATAAAGTGAAACATAAAACTCTCTAATTATTAGTGGCATTTTTCAAAAAGATGAGCCATCAAGTGCCTGAGCCCTTCCTGGAATAATAGTGAGCTGGCCCCCTGCTGTACCTTAAATTTCCTCCCTTAACTGGTATGATGGATCCTTAGGAAGCACTGGAGAGCCATTATCATAATCAACTCTCCTATTAAGAGTGTCATTTTTTTAATTAAAAAAAAAAAACAAACCTCACAACAGCGAGGCTGCAGAAGTACTTTTTAACTGCCCTGGTAGGATTTCCGCCCCCCCCCCCCGCCCCCCCAAGCTATCTGATTCCAGTGCGTGCTAGGCTGGACTATCCATACTCCGAACATGGATACGTTCCAGTCATTTAATTCCATTAACATTTAAGGAATGAGCAGGCCTTGCTAACCACAAATCAAGCTGCATAATCTGTTTCTCAGGTTTATTATTTTTGTGAGGAGAGTGTCTGCCCTCTTGGGTTGAAGCGCCCTATTGATCACCCAGCGCGATGATCCTATGTGTCTCCCCCCACCCCATCCTTCCTATCGTCTGTACCAACCTGTTTTAGATTCACAAGATGACCGCTGTGTCTGAGGTGTGCCAAATTCTGTACTTTGAAGTACGCTCCCTATATTGCTGGGCCAAGGATGATGCCTTTCCAATGAATTGTTGTCTCTTTATTCATTTGATTTTCCAAGCTAATATGATGCACTTGTTTTGGATGGATTTCTGCCCTCACGTGAATGGATGGCACTCCAGTGTTTGTTGCGCCGGCTTTTTCCCCTTTCTTTCTATTTTTAAATTAAATTTTTATGAAAAAGAATGTGCTTCCATTCAGAGGCATAAAAATCGAGGACTGTTGCTCCTCGTGCCTGATAGGGGCTGCAGCATCTGGACAAAAATGCCATTTCTCTCTGCAACAGGACAATCCAAATGCTGGCCCACAGATAAGAGGCCTGCTCCCTGGGAAATGAAGACTTGTCTCGGTGAATGATGGTTTGCTGTTTGGCCATGGTGTGTCTGTTTATAAAGAGAAGCCAAACTTCATATTTATAGAAAAATGAATAATTCAGTATTAGTTATTGGTTAATGCAGAACGGCGACATCAGAAGAAAAGACAGACATGGGAGTTGAGAGTCAAGCTTATGGCAGGGGAGGGAGAGAAATGGAATTTTTTTCCCCCTCCCATCTTCCTAGTATGTGTCTACTTAAAAAAAAATCATTTAATTGGGTGTTTCTTGGTTTTCACAATAGGGAGGAGGCTGCATGCAGGCGAGACTGCTCGCTCACTGGGCCTGCCTCCTGCATGGAGCCTTTTGGCGCACACGGGGGACCTGGTCACATTCCAAATCCCCCTCCGGCAGCCAGGCAGCGAGTCTTGTTTGTTTGTGTGAGTCTGGGAGGCCCCAGCATCTTGTTAGTGTTATACTTGAGAGCGGTGGGGGAATCCTTCTGCTCAGGACTCTGCAAAGCTCTTCCTGCTTAGAAAAGAGGTTTTGTTTGACTCTTTTTGGCCTCCGAGGCACCAAAGGGAGTGATTAATAGGGAACCACCTCGAGATTTCAACAGAGCAGCAGCGCGAGCTCCCAGGGTGGGCAGGGCCTTTGTTTGGCAGAAAACGGGCGATAAAGCAGAGACGGGGCTGCCGGCTGGGAGTCCGGTCCTCGGGCCTGCTCAGTTTCATCCCTGCCAGGCCAACCTCGTGACCCGCGCCGGCCTGGGAAGATTCATCTGCCTGCACCCTGGGCAGTGTGATTAGCAGGGGCTTTCTCCTCCGGGGTGGGGGGGCCCTGGAGTCTGGCTGGCAAGGGGAGAGAGCGGGCTTCGAAAAGTGCTTGGGCCCAGCTGGGGCCCAGAGGCTCTGTTCTCTTTCGTGAGATCCCGCAGGCAAGAGAAAAGCAAAGGCATCAGTGGGGAGAGCACTGGGGACGTGTGGTCCTGGGGAAGGGGGGTGTGGGAGGGCTCCTCCACGGAGGCGCCAAGGCGGCTAGGCCTCCAGGCTTCTGTGGCCGGGAGCAGAAGACAAGCCTTGATCGGGAACAAGGCTCCTACGACCACAAGAGAATCTAGGGAGTGCTTGGGAAGTGGGAGGGAGGGGGCAAGGCAGAGCGGAGTTAAAGCAGGAAGCAAAGCAAGAGGCAGGAGGCCCAGGCCCGAAAACGAAAACCGAAAACCGTGGCCCCACCAGCTTGAAGCTCCTTGGGTGCATTTGCCCTGAGGCTGAATGGGGGCATCAGCGAGTTGTTCTAGTCACATTAGAGTGAGGGGCAACGGGGACGTTTCCCTTCCTCGGAGCCCAGACCCCTTCCCTTCATTTAAGAGGCCAGGCAGGATGGCAGCATCCTGTGCAAATTCCAAAGTCAGGCGCTCAGCATTTGCAGAGCCCCTCCAGCTCTGCCTCTGTGGGAGGCCCGATGCTGACATGACCACTGGTGATTTCGCCCCAGCACCGAACTGCTCCGTGACAAGACTTCGGAGGCAACGGAGCGTACTGGTTGAAGTGGGGAGTATGTTAGTCAGCTCAGGCAGCTGTAACAAACATACCACGGCCCAGGCCCCTTATAAACAACAGACCCTGACTTCTCACAGTCTGGAGGCTGGGAGTACAAGATCAAGGTGCCGGCAGGCGGCAGCCAGCACACAGAAAGCCTCCTACGGCTTTAGCCACATTGAAATGGTGGCCAGAGGGCCACGCCCGCCGTGCCCAACTCCGGTGGAGCTGCGGACACAGAATCCAACATCCATCGCCTGCTGTCCCTCATGCCCCCCCCTCCCCAGGGTACAGCTTTATGCCACGACCTAATGAGGACACAAGTTCAGCCGTCAAGTGCCAGAAAACTCAAGATGGTCTAAACAACGCCGAAGTGTCAGTCCACACGGCTGGGCTCTGGATGTAGGTGGAATTTCGGGGTGGCCCGACCCCACGGCTCCAGCTCCCTCAGCTGACAGTGAGGCCAGCTCTGCTGTCTTCCTGCGGCAGGCTGGAAGCCCCATGGCCACACAGCTCACCCCCCCTCCCGTGGCCTCTCTTCTCACAGCCGCATCTCAGAAGGGACGAACCCTTTCCCGGAAACTCCCACCAACCGGAGGCCTGACCTCTCTCCGATGGCTCAGAGAGTGGTCGGCAGTGACCAGCTTAGATTCCTGAATCACTCACCGTGCACAGTATAGACCCCCCTGGGTGCAGAGCTGGGGTTGGCCCCCTGCCCCGTGACGGCTCCATAATGGGTGAAGGCCACAGAACACGGTCCACTGAACGTCTGCCTCACCAAATCCTGTCCAGCTGTGACCCGAGGCAGGTACTACAGTCATCTACGCTTTAAAGGTGGGGCACATGGGGACGTGTTGAGACACACAGGCAGGCAGAGAGCTCTAGCACAGAGGTGAAAACGAGCCTAGCTCTTGACCTCATGCCCACTTCAGTGTGGACAGGCCATGCAGTGAGGACAGTGAGTCATTAGGGGGAAGGAAAAAAACCCCAAATGGAAACCCACCGTGAGTTTCCTCAGAGTCACACTGTCCAAGAGCATTCTGGCCAACACGTGCGTACAGTTCTTTCCTGCTATTTTTATTGTGTAATGTGTACATTTCCTCCCCGCAACCTTTTAAAATTGAGAAATGTAACACAAAGAAAGGGGCACAAATCTCACGAATAATGATGTGCTCACTTTCTGCTGCAGTTTAACAAATGACCACAAATTTGGGAACTTAAAAAATGCACTTACTTCCACTTCTGTGGGGTAGGAGCCAGGGCTTGGCTTTTGCAGGGTCTCATGGGGCTATCTATAATCCAGGTACAGACTGAGCTTTGTTCTCTTCTGGAGGTGCGACCCTTTCAAGCTCATTCGGGTCGCCAGCAGATGCATATCCTTGTGACTGCATGACCGAGGGCCCCAGCTTCTTCCTGGCTGCTGGCTGGAGGCCACCCTCAGGTCCCGGAGGCTGCCCACAGTCTCCTGCCACATGGTCATATCCAGGGGCTCTTCACTTGGCTGTTTGCTCCTGCAAGGCCAGCAGGAGAGTCTGTCTCCAGTCACCCCAGGAACATGAGCATGATGGGCGTGACATCCATCATCCTTCACATATGACATGATATCGTCAAGGGAGGGACATCCTACTCCTCTCACCAAATTCTATTATTGGTTAGAAGCACGTGACTGGTCTGGCCCACACTCAGAAGTGGGGGAATGATACAGGCTGTTGACTCACTGGGGGTCCCCTTGGGGTGTGCCTAAGTGGAACCCAGGTGAAGAAACTGAACATTGACCACCAACCCAGAAGCCTAACCTACCCACCCCCATCTCCACTTAGAGGTAAGACCAGTGCCAAGCTGGAGCTGGCTCATGAGAACCAAATGTTAAATTTTCAGGAATTCTGTGGGCCTGCTGTTAAACAGATATTATCAAAAATTAAATTATATAAACTTACAGCAAAATCAGCACTATTGACAACAAGGTCTCAAAACACATTACTTCCCAATTATCCTACCATGACCTATGCTCTTGAGGTTATTTACATCTATTGGATCTGTATGCTGGAAATCGCATTCTCAACCCTGCACTTAGACACTCCACGTTGGTAGCCTGAAATTGGCCATCAGAGGAATATTTATATTGTGGGGATCTGAAAATTCCATAGTTCAGAGCTTGGAGGTTGAAAAGAGGGGTAGACAAAACAAAGAATATGCGACAGAGATTATACGTGTCTGGCAGAGCCTAAAATATTTGCCATCTGACCGAACCCCCAATCTAGACTTAAGAAAGTAATAGAGAAGGGCGCCTGGGTGGCTCAGTTGGTTGGGCGACTGCCTTCGGCTCAGGTCATGATCCTGGAGTCCTGGGATCGAGCCCCACATTGGGCTCCCTGCTCAGCGGGGAGTCTGCCCTCCCTCTCCCTCTGCCTGCCACGCCCCCTGCTTGTGCTCTCTGCCTCTCTCTGTCAAATACGTAAATAAAATTTTTTTTAAAAAGTGGAATTATATTGGGCGCCTGGGTGGCTCAGTTGGTTGGGCGACTGCCTTCGGCTCAGGTCATGGTCCTGGAGTCCCGGGATCGAGTCCCGCATCGGGCTCCCTGCTCGGCAGGGAGTCTGCTTCTCCCTCTGACCCTCCTCCCTCTCATGCTCTCTGTCTCTCATTCTCTCTCTCTCGCAAATAAATAAAACCTTAAAAAAAAAAAAAAGAAAGTAATAGAGAAAATTAACAATGTAGTTAGACTTAAGTCTGCAGCCTTTACATTGTAAAGGCCATAAAACCTTGAGGAAAAACTGTATTTGTAAAGCACGATCGAATTTGGCAAAGGAGTTGCTCACATCATGATGAAATTCTGAGGTCTTTCTGGCTTCGTTTCTGTCTTACTTGCTAACGTATCATCAACCAGGCTCATATCACAGATGACACTTTCTGGTGTTCGTTGGGGAAATAGCAGGTTGGCAGGCGACTCGACTTGCCAGGTCGCGGGGAGACCGTGAACTGCAGCTTGGCCGGGGTACAGCAGCCCAGCGAAAGCGGGCAGAGGCCTCCTCCGCGCACCCCTGGGCTCTAAGATTCAGGAGCAAGGCTGCGGTTCATCATTCCTTCTCGTCGCTGTGCTGCCCATGCTTGCTGTCGGCGACACTCAGACTAAACTTACGCACCCACAGGGTCCCGGCGGCCTGATCGGGGGGGGGGACTCCCTGGCTCCCCCGACACCCTAACCAGGTTCAGAGGCGCCTTAGAGCCCCGAGCAGCGACCGGCACACAGTAGGCATTTGGCAGACGATGCTGAGGTGGGCGAACTCCGGAGGAAAACTGATTTTAACAGGGCCACCGGCAGCGGCAAGGCCCCTGGGAGCCTTGACGAGGAAAGTGGCAAAAAGGGAAAAAAAAAAAAAAAAAGTCGGGGACGTCTGCTTTCACGTGTCGGTCAGGCTCCTCGGTCGTTTCGCGTCCCCGTGGTACAAACTCGGGGGCGGGGGGCGGGGGGCGGGGGCAGCCCAGCCCAGGGCTCAGCGGGCGCCCGGCAGGCGACCGGAGAAGCCGCACACGCCCCTCCGCACTCCCGCCCGCCGGCGGCGGGGCCGCCCCCACGAGCCGCGCACGGGGCAGCCCGCGAGCCCCCGCAGGGCCGCCGCGCGAGAACACAGTCGGGCCGGCGGACGGCGGCGCGACCGAGCGCTCCGCCCCCGGCGCCACGTGGGCGCAGGAGGCCCCGCCCCCGCCCGCCGCGGGCCCCAGGGCCTCCCCGGCGGGGCGCGTGTGACCTTGGGCGCGCCGGCCCCGCCCCGCCACCCCGCCGGGACCCCGGGAGCGGCGGACTCGCAGTGGTCGCGAGGACGTAACCGACCCACGCCCCGCTCGCGCGCAGGCCGGAAGGTGCGTCGTGACGCGTTGTGCGCAGGCGCGACGTGCGGTGAGGCGCCCGGGACCGCCGCCAGGGGGCGCTGCGGGCCTCTGGCGCCGTGGGGGGAAGGGAGGCGCAGCGCTGGGACCGGACCACGTGCGCACCACGTGGCGCGCCCGGCAGCCCCCGACGGAGGGAAGGCGGCCCAGCCGGCCACACCGTGTAACCAGCAGCCGGGGACGGCGAAGGGATCAAACTCCCCGCTGGCATCCCTGCTGACCTCTAGCCTCTGACCCCACTACCTTTAGGGTTTCCCCTCGCTGGTGGCCGTGTGGTGTGTTTATAAACAGAGCTGCCGGCGGGGCCCAAACCCCGGATGGCGGATTGACTCCCGGGGAGCGGAGCCTCCCGCGCATGCGCCCCGCGCCTTCCGCGCGGCTCTTCCTGCGCAAGCGCACTGGCGGCCGGGGCGCGTCTCTGCCCGGGGCGGGGACGTGTGGCCGGGAGGGGGAGGGCGGCGGCCGGGAAGAGCTGCGTTCCGCGGCTGCAGCCTTGCCAGGCCCTGCCCCGTCCTTCCTGGGCTGCGTCCCACGGCAGGCCGCCCGGGTGCCCTGAGCCGGGGCCTCGCCTGTGAAGGGGCCACCGTTGGCAGGTCGGGCAGGTGAGCCCTGGACCTGCCCCGGCTGCCCTCCGTGGCCCACGTGGCCGCCCCGGAGAGCCTTTAAACACAGCAGCCCCGCGCCCCCATGCATTTTGAACAAAATGTGGTGTTTACACGCAGTGGGATGCTGCTCAGCCTTGGAAAGCAAGGAAGGAAATTCTGTTAGGTGTATTTCATCATAATAAAAAAGGACAGTTCTGACCCAAGCTAAGGGATAGGTGAACCTAGGGGACATAAGGCTGAGTGACAGAAGCCAGAGACGGAAGGACGACTACTGCAGGAGTCCACGAACATAGGCACGTTCATTTGGAATAGAGGTGCCCAGGGGGTGGGAATTCTTTGATGGGGACGGAGTCTCAGTTTGGGAAGATGAAAAAGTTCTGGAGACGCATGGTGGTGGCCGTGGCTTCATGCCCTGAACCCGGCACTGAAGAATGGTTAAAATGGCAAATGGTGTGTGGTGTATGTTTTACTACATCCTCCCCACTCAACATCACCCCCAGTTCTGCCCAACGATATCCTTTCTGTGTTCTACCCCACCTGTCTCATCCCTGCTCACATCATCCCGAACCCCTCCAGCCTCAACTAGCCGCCTTTCTTACCTAGAACACACCATCCCCACTGCTCCTTGCCGTTCCCTCTGCACACAGCTGTTTCCTTCTCGTGGATTCATTCATTCAACAGACACAGATCCATGCTTATTTTCTGCTAGACATTATGCAAGACCAGGGGATGCACAGGTGATCGCAACAGGAAAAGACTCTCCTGGGCTTTATATTCTGGCAGAGGGCATAGTCAATAAACACCAGCAGCAAAATGTCAGTTGGTGGAAGTGCTGGAAGAACCATAAGGCTGCTGGGGACCCGGGATCTAAGCTAGATTGGGTGCGCCTGAGGGACTCTCTGAGTGCTGGTGGCTTGAGCTGAGACCTGCAAGATAAGGAGATTTCCATGGAAGATTGGGGGTGGGGTGGAGGATGGAAAGGAGGATTTTTCGGGAGAGAGAGGACAGCTAGTGCAAGAAGCCCTGAGGACAGAACCATTTTGGTGTGTCTGAGGAGCAGGACGAGACCAGGCAGTAGGAGCTTGTGAGTGAGGGAGAGGTTTAAGAAATAAGGGCAGAGGGGCACCTGGGTGGCTCAGTCGTTTAGCGTCTGCCTTTGGCTCAGGTCATGATCCCGGGGTCCTGGGATCAAGCCCCGCATCGGGCTCCCTGCTCAGCAGGAAGCCTGCTTCTCCCTCTCCCACTCCCCCTGCTTGTGTTCCCTCTCTCGCTGTGTCTCTCTGTCAAATAAATAAATAAAATCTTAAAAAAAAAAAAGAAACGAAGGCAGAGAGGTGGGTGCTCCTGTTACGAGAACTACAGGAAGTACCCTCAGACTTGCTAGTGTAAAGCAATCATTTTGTTGGCCCGCAGTTTGGTAGGGCTCAGCTAGGCGGTTCTCACCCGGGGTCTCACGTGGGTACCATCTGGTGTGGGTCGGAGTGCAGGCATCTGAAGGCTGGAGGGGGCTGGCTGCCCCCGGCGGCTGGTTCGTGTGGCTGGCAGCTGGGAGCTCAGGGAGGGCTGCCTTGGGCGTGCCCACCTGTGGCTCCTTCAGCTCCGTGGCCTCAGGGTAGCCGGACTTCTCATGTGGACAGGCTGCCCGCCAAGAGAACCAGGCAGAAACCACACGGCCTTCTAGGACGTAGCCTCAAAAGTCACGTAGTCTCGCTTCCATCGTACTTTGTTGGGTGGAGCAATCCGAAACCTGCCCAGATTCAAGGACAGGGGACACGGATCCACTTCTGGGTGGGCTGGGGGGGTGGGGAGGGGGTGTCCATGATTTTGGGAGCCATGTTTTAAAATCACTACAGGTGGGCGCCTGGGGGGCTCAGTCGGTTGAGCGTCTGCCTTCGGCTCGGGTCGTGATCCTGGAGTCCCGGGATCGAGTCCCGCATCGGGCTCCCTGCTCGGCGGGGAGTCTGCTTCTCCCTCTCACCCTCCCCCCTCTCATGTGCTCTCTCTCATTCTCTCTCTCTCAAATAAATAAAATCTTTAAAAATAATAAATAAAATAAAATCACTACAGGTGATCTTAGCTTTTTTTTTTTTTTTTTTACAGATGGAGAACATGATGTGTAAGGTGAAGTGACGGGGCCAAGGTGGCAGAGCAGAGTGGGACCTGGAGCTGGGCCCTCTCTCCCGCATCCATCCCACGGCCTCTGCTCCGGCCACACGGAAGGGGGCTTCAGGGTCCGGGTCTGCAGGACCTAGTTTTGGCTGAGATGTCTCCCCGGAGAACGATGCCCTCCTGAAGTCGCACGCAGCCCGTCTGTTTCGTGATCCTGTCTCATTGGCTTCAGAGCCTCATTTGATGGTTTACCGTGCCTTGCCCGCTTCCAAGAGCCGCACCCACGCCGGCCTTACCCACTGGAAGCGCTCGGTAAGTCCTGTGGAAGGAGTCGGTGGATTCAACGCCGGGTTCACACAAGCTTGCCATGGGCTGAAGAGGTGGTACGTGCCAGACTTTAGTCAGCTGTGGAGTCCCACTGGTACCTGGTGAGGAGTCCTTATTAAAATGTGTGTTTAATCACAGCTCATCTCTTAGAGGACAGGTGGGGACAGGCTGGCCACACCCTTTGGTAGCACGTCCTTCCTTAATGGCACCAGCAGTGGAGTTTAGAATGAAGAGCACACAGCACGGTGCTCACAAGTGGTCTCTCGCTGCTGGCCGACAGGGTGGGGAAGCCCAGCTGGGCGTGGACCCTGAGGATCTGCCAGGAAGACACCCCCAGCCTCCGTACTTCATGTGATCCGTCCCCCTGACAGCAGAGTGTTGCAGCTTCTGGAGTCCCAGACGCAGCTCGTCCTGAGGGCGCCTTGAGGATCTCGTAAGACGTGGGGAGGGGGGTGGGTGGGCACGTGTAGCCACGGGATCCCAGACATGGGGACAGTTCTCCTGCAGCAGGAGCGATTAGGCCATTAAAGCCTCTTGTCCCACGAAGCAAGAGTAAGGCGAGGCATCTTCACAGAAGACCTATTTTTAAAAACAGCTTTCTCTTCCCACCAAATTGTAATTTGTTCAGAATTTTAAAACTCTAGTTTTGGCTAAACTTCCTCCTGCTCCTTCCCAATCCTCCAAATTTGGAGAAAATCTGTATCAATATCTGTATCTACATATATCTTTCTCCCCCCCCCCCCCCCCAGCAGGGAGCCCGATGCAGGACTCGATCCTGGGACTCCAGGATTACGACCTGAGCCAAAGGCAGTCGCCCAACCAACTGCGCTACCCAGGCGCCCCTATGTGTATCTTTCAACATTGATATTCTCTGTATATCTATCCCTGGAATATTGTCCTTTCTTCCTCCTTTTTTTCTGGTTTTAGACATAAAAAGTCTGTTACACACACACCAGGTACTAAGGAACTTACTGATCCAGGTTCCTGTACTTTGCATCATCACTGCTGAGGACTTTGCAGTAGGGAAGAGAATTTGGTACCTGGGCACAGAGAGCGAGCATCTCACCCTGTTAGAGAACTGGGCTAAAGCAGTGATACGCAGAGTGAGGCTGTGGACCTTTCCTGGCCTGCCAACTGTGTACATGTCTGTGACCAGAAAGTATACAGAAATACACGTTTAGGAACTTCTTTAGGAATTTGACATTCTAATGACATCCGAGAGTGGATCCCGTGGACTTGTCATCTGTTTTACAAAACACACTGGGAAGAGGTCCAAAGGCTGGTCCTTCACTGCACATAGCTTGGGAAAGACTGGAAGAAGGAACTCACCTAAAACTTTTGGGCAAGCCATGAGCCATACCTAGAAACCCAAGACAACAACTGGAAAATTACCATACGATGGATGCATTTTTTTTTTTAAAAATCAGTAATATTCCTATATACAAGTAGCAGCTCCCCAGAAAGTACAATGGAAGAAAAGATCCCTTTTACCATACAAAATAAAGGGGAAGACACCCAGGAATAAACTAAAAAAAAAATGTGCAAAGTCTGTATGAATGATTTTCTCTCTTTGAGAACTGGAAGACACCAGAAATTTTCTTGACAAAATCAAGGTTATGAAGGACCCCGACTCACTTCGGAGTAGGCCTAGAGGACGTCCAAGCGAGCCGCGGTGCGGTTCTGGGAGCTCATGGCTTCTTGCAGAGACGTACGAACACACACACGTCTGTCTCCTCGGACCTGCCTATTCTAGATACTTCTGTAAATGGAATCATACAGTATTCTTTGTGTCTGGCTGGCTCCTTTCACTGAACATCACGTTTTCAGGGCTCATCCATGTTCTGGCGTGAGTCAACACGTCATTCCTCTTGGTAGCCGAATAGTATTCCATTGTATGGATAGACCACATTTTGCTTAATGTGCATCTGCTGATGAACACTTGGGCTGTGTCTTCCTTTTGGCTCTTAAGAATAATGCTGCTGCGAACATGTACCTACAAGTATTTGAGGCCCTGTGTGCAATTCTTCCGAGTATACAGCTGGGACTGCCAACTGCTGGGTCACACGGAAATTCCATTTCAACTTTCTGAGAAACTGCCAGGCTGTTTTGCACAGTGGCCACACCTTTCTACATTTCCAACGGCAATGTACGGAGGGTTCCAGTTTCTGGACATCCTTGCTAGCACTTCCTAGTTTCCATTTTAAAAAATATCCATCCTTGTAGATGCGAGGTGGTATCTCACTGTATTTTGATTTGCATTTCCCTAATGATTAATGATGTTGAGTATCTTTTCATGTGCTGGTTGGACATTTATATGTCTTCCTTGGATAAAACAAATGCCAATAAATATTAAGAAAAAATTAGTAAAATTGAATAGAAGATATTTTTTTTAATAATTTTTTTTAAAGATTTTATTTATTTGACAGAGAGAGAGATAGCGAGAGCAGGAACAGAAGCAGGGGGAGTGGGAGAGGGAGAAGCAGGCTTCCCGTGGAGCAGGGAGCCTGATGCGGGGCTCGATCCCAGGACCCTGGGACCATGACCTGAGCCGAAGGCAGACGCTTAACAACTGAGCCACCCAGGCGCCCGATATTTTGTTTTTTTTTAATGACAGCTCAACAAACATAATTCAACATGTATTACAGAAAACCTTATAAACAATATCAAAAGATAACAGGAACCTAGATAAATATTGGTTAACATACAAGATAGACAAAGAAGGGCCTAAAATTTACAATACCCCAGCAATGGTGAACATATCTAGAAACCAGAATATGACCTTATTTTAAAATAAAATATTGAGAAAATATTCTAATATAAAGCAAAGCCTTCAAACTTTGCTTTATGTTGGAATAACAGGAGAAGGTTCGCAAGTGCCCTGATAGGCAGGTTGCACCCAATAGAGATTAAATTAGGGTCTCTAGGAATTCCCACATCAGTATTTTTTTAAAGCCCTGATGGTTTGTTTCAACGTGTGGATGGGCTCAAGGGCCACATTCTAGAACAGAGCATCTCACACTGTGTCTGTGACTCACCCGGGGGACTGGTTCAAATGCAGATTCTGATCCAGGAAGTCTGGGGTGGGGCCCAGACTCTGTTTTTAACGAGATCCCGAGATCCCAGTGATGCGGGTGCTGCCAAAACAGGGCTGCATTTTTTTTTAAGATTTTATTTATTTATTTGACAGAGAGAGACACAGCGAGAGAGGGAACACAAACAGGGGGAGTGGGAGAGGGAGAAGCAGGCCTCCTGCTGAGCAGGGAGCCCAATGTGGGGCTCGATCCCAGGACCCTGGGATCATGACCTGAGCCGAAGGCAGACGCTTAACGACTGAGCCACCCAGGCACCCTGGGGCTGCATTTTGAGTAGCGAAAATCTTCCAGGTGATGCGGAGGCGGATGCTGCTGGTCCTGGGACCGCATTTTGAATATCGAGGATCCACAGTAGCATAAGACCAACAGCATCTGGGGTTTGCTAGAAATACACACTCTCAGGCTCCACCCCAGTCCACTGCCTGGGAAGCGGCATTTGACAAGGTCTAGGGTACTACTCCCTGTCTTGGCCCTGTGGTCTCACCAGCTCATAGTGGAGGGGATGGGCGGTGGATGTTGGGGCTTCTGGCTTCTGTCCCTGTAGCTTTGAACAACTGCTCACCCCCCAAAGAGAGTGTAATGATGAGTGAATGTTTCTCAAGTGCCCCGACCTTTCTTGGATTGAAAGCCCCTATTAGGAGGGTGATTTTGTGTTTGCTGGCCAAGTCCGCCGCCCCTTCGATGATCCTGGAGATGGCAGTGCAGGCTGGGGATTGAACGAGGCCGCAGCTGCAAACCGCATTGGCTCCTCCCTGACGGTGATTGCCAGAACTGGCCTGTGCCCCAGTTTCCTGGCCACGTGGGGAGTGTGAGGCAAGCACCCCTCCCTGAGCCATCCTCTTGCAGGACAGTTGGGGTGGACTCGGGCAGGAGGGTTGTGTTGATCGGCCAGAACAGGGGAGCATTCAATATGCGACCTGCAATAATTAATGGATTGCCTACTGTGTGGCAAGCAGCCTGCTAAGTGCTGGGGACATAGATCCAAGGCAAAGAAAACAGTGAGCAAGCCTCACCCATATCCCTGTAAACTATGAGTAAGTGCTCAGAGGAGAGCTTCCTGGTGCTCAGGGGCAGATCGAAGAGGGCTGTGACCTCATCTGGGAGGCGAGATCTAAGGGATAGATAGGAGCTCTGGAGAGGAGAGCGGGTGGGCAGGAAGCACACGCAGTGATTTGGAGACAAACCCTCTCCGCGTCTGTACAGACTTCCCTACAGTTTCCCCTTATCACTGGTTCAAACTAGTCTTAGCTGATCAAAGCTAGAATTTCTGGAACTTTGTGTCACTCAGAACGCGCATAAGCTCTTCTGCAGCAATGGCCCCGACTTTTGAGGAAATAGCCACCCCCAAAATAATAAGCAAGTGTCCCCGGGGTGTGCACCACGTGGGAGATGTGGCCCGAGGTCATGTGGAGAAGCAACAGCCCGGCTCTTGTCTGCAAAGAATCACTGATTTTATTGAAAAGATTGGAAACCACGCAGGAGAAGAAAAAGAACAGGCCCATGTGATTTAGGAACGGGTGCTGGAGGTGGTGGAAAGAGGGGAGGGTGCTGGGGAGGAATGGGGGTGGTCCAGGCGGGTGAGGGGTGGGGGGGCAGGTGAGGGCAGTGTGGACCAGAGTCCTGAGGCGGGTTGGGCAGCTGATGCTGGGAGCAGGGAGCAGAGAGCCAGGGCTCCCCGGCTCACCGACCCCCACTACCCCGAGGGACAACACAGGGCTTGCCTTGCTAAAATTCCTGAAGCATCCAGCTTTATCTTAAAAATGCTCATGCATTTTGCATTCTAATCCATGACAGAGGCGTGTTTAGCATAAAAATAATATTTTGAATTAACTAGCTAAATTATTAGAATTTTCTTAACACTTCAAGACAAACTGAGGTTGGGGAGGGCAGACCTTTCACTGCCCCACTCCTCGGCTGGACGGATGGGCGGGGCAGAGCTACTTCCCTGGGTGCATCGAGGCCTGATGGCCTGGGTTCAAATCCCGCATGACCTTCCCATGTGACCTGGTGGGTCGGTGCATGGGCTCCCTGGAAGGGGATGAGTCACAGGACCCACCTCTCAGGGTTGGGTGAGTAATAAATGGGTGAATACACAGAACATCCCTAGCACAGCACATAGCCAACTGTTGATCAATGTTCGATATTATGATCCTACGTTAGTAAGTGGTAGATGTTATGGTTATCAGCATCACTGACAGGTCATGGGGTTCTTGAATGGTTCACACTTCAAGAAGTGTGTCCAGGTCTGGGGTGAGCAGTTGAGGTCCTGAGTTCAACTGTTGTGAATTTGGGGGCCGGCGGGGGTGAAGGGGCAGGTCTGAGGCATGAGGATCTGGCTGCCATTGGCCCTTGGGGAAATGTTGAGGGGAAGCCATAACACACCACCAAGTTCACCAGCTGGAAAGACGAGGGAGGGGCCCCGGTGAAGGAGGCCGGGAGTGGCCGCTTGCTCACCTGCCGTGGAGATCATTTTGGGCATTGTGAGGTCAGCCGTCCACTGGGGATGGATGGATGCCTGTGTCTCTCTGAGATTCATCTGTTGAACCTGGCCCCTCAGCGTGGCTGCATCTGGACATGGGGCCTCCGAGGAAGTCACTGAAGTTCACTGAGGGTGGGCCTTGATCCCGTCCGATGAGTGTCCTTATTAGAGGGCTTCTCTCTGTCACGTAAGGTCCATGGCAAGGAGCTGGCCGTCTGCAGGCCAGGGCGAAAGCTCTCACCAGAAACAGGCTCTGCCGGACCTGACCTCGGGCTTCCAGCCGCCGGAACTGGGTAGAAGATAGATTTCTGTGGTTTAAGCCACCTGGCCTGTGGCGCTTTCTTACAGCAGCTGGGGCAGAATCACACACCATTTAGAGCATAGCTGGTGCAGGGAAGGGACCATCCTTTATTAGATACCTACTGGGTGCCATGCTTGAAAGGCTCTGCACAGATGATTTTTTTTTTAAGCTCAGAGAGGTGTGTTCTGACCCAGCTCCCCTTTTCCCCAGGTCTCTCCCTCTCTGTCATTATTTGCCCATTTTAATCGTCTGTTTGTGGCCCCTCTGCTGGATACCCAGCCTGTCACAGAGTACTTGGCTCGAACAGATGGCGGATCCGGGCACTTGAAGGACACAACGGTCCTTACTGAACCCTCAAAACAATGAGGGGGGTGTTGTCTGCCTTCTCCAGATGCAGTACCTGAGGCTGAGGGAGGGCGGGGTGAGCACCTTGTCTCCAGTGCACACATTTGGACGCTGGCGGCTGCAGATGACTGCAAAGACCCTGCGCCTCCCACAGGAGGTGGGTGCCTCCCTTCAGATGGTGGACGCACCTGCAGATGTGTTGAGTGCACCGCGGTGGCCGGTGGGGCGGGCGGCTCTGGGGGACGCTCGGTTTGGAAAGGACGTCACTGTGCCCTTCATCCGGGACTTCACGTTCATGGAGGGTGGTCACGGGGGCTGCTCCCACCACCAAGGGTCTCCCATTTCTTTTTTCAGATTGCTTAAGTTCTTCTTTATCCTGAGCTGGTATCTATTTCCCTAGTTTTTTTTTTTTTTTTTACGAAAAATGATAAACAGGACAGAGCCATGAGAACTGTGGGTCTCAAGACCTTTCTCTTGCTTGACATCAACCCATTAATCAAACCTTTGCGTTTGGTCCTTTGGCCTCTTCTGAATCTGTCTCGCTTGACTCACCTCAGCTGGTATTTGTCGAGCCCACCCATGGGAGCCTCCTGAGGACCTCTGCTAACTGTCTGGCCAACCCCAGACACACCGTCTCTTTCGTCTCTCCTCCCAGGAAGGGAGATGAGCTTCCTCCAGTATGAATGGTCTCTATGGATCCAGGTGGCCCCCTAAAGACCATCCGCTTGCCCTTTCTTGTCCTAGGGTTTACAAGACTTTAGCATTTTTGCCCAGCCAGACGTCGGGTTCCGTGGCTTCTAGAATCTGTCTTTCGTGGGGGACAGATGTTATCTCTCCTCTCCTGGTACTGTCCCGCTCCTCGGGGCTCTCTGAGGATGGGGGCTACATCTGTCCCGGTCACTGTCCTGTGTGTCGCAGTGCCCCCAGAGCCTGGCAGAGGACGTGCTCAGTAACCGTGTCGATCTGCCCAGAACTGAACTGACGCCAGTTCTGCCATCCCGTCTGTGATCCTCCCGATGTCCCAGATCCCTGCCTGGCTCCTGTGTCAGCACTCCTTAAACACAGCATATTCTCTTTTGTAACTATAAACGTCACACATGCCCGCTAAGGATCCTAAAAGC